TTTTAATATTAACTAGATTAATTGCTCTGGCAACTAGGAAAAACTGAAAGAGCTCATTTTCAGTTTTATTTTTATATATAAATCATCAAAAATGACTTAAAATTAACTAATTTATCAAAAAATTTGTTTAAACTCTCTTACAAAACTTTGTATTTTATTTTTACAAATTTTTTTTTTGAGGGGAACTGCCTCTGGTCTGTTCTATTCAAACCCACTCAAACAGGATCACAAATCAATATTATATTATCTGAATTAATCTGTATTGTTTATAAATTTGTATTCTTTTAATTTTTCACAACTTTTTGTTCAATGTCAATTTTGATTTACAGATCTGTAAGTGTTACATACTTTGTGTAATACTTATTTAGAATACCCTGTGTTTGTCACATTATCTTATTTGTTACATCTTATTATTTGTCATACTTTGTTAGTTGTTACACTTCTTATTTGTCATACCCCTATATCTTTCAGACTGCCTCATATCCAAGATTCTTATAATCTACATTATTTTTACTTTTAAGCCAAAATGCCAACTCTTATTAATGAAGAATCAGATTCTTATAATATCAACTACTATTATGATAAATACAAAAATTGTTATAATATAGAAATAATTGAGAGAAAATCTTAATTATTATCTTAATCCAATTAATTGTAATGCTTCTGTTAAAAAACATTATTACTTTAAAGTTCTTTACAATCTACTATTACTACATGTCTTTATAGAGCATATTATACTAATTCTACTTCTAGATTTTATAAAATTTTTTATTTCAAATTTCTTGGTTGACCTACAATTCAAGCTATATCACTATGTCTACAAAATACTTTACAAAAATTTTTGATGAATTGCTTGCCTCACCTAACTCAAAATAATAACAACCAGATATCTTTTTAACTAAATTTTGTATTCTATTTTCTGGCTTTTAAATAGATTCCATTTCAACTGCAATTATTGTATATTCTCAGCATTATTATATATGCTTTATATATAGAATTAAAAACATTCTTTGTGTCACAACTAAATAAAGCAATTATGCTTTAGACTACACTATTTGTACTATCTTCAAAAATAATTATTACATAGGCTTTATATTTCTGGCCTATTAATCATTAAACTCAAATCTCTTGTATAAACTTTACTTTTAATATTTTAACAACAAATAACTATAGCTATAATTAAATCAAAACTAATTAGCTTAAATAATCAAACTTCTTTGTCTATTTCCAAAAAACAAATTAATTCTCCTTTTATTCTTAAACAACAAATTATCCTTATTTTTATTAAATTTTGGCAAATAAAATCTAGTAATAAAATCCAACTTTTTACTTCTTTTTTCTCTAAAAAAGGGAAAAATAATAAACAACAAAAACAAAAGAAAAAAGAAAACCAAAAAGATACTAGTAATGATCTTAATTGATTTAAAGAATATTCAATAACTAACTCAATAAAAAATAACACCAAACTTAATAACTCTATTGCTCAACAACTTTTTACTTTTATTAAACTATATCTTATTGATATTTATTCAGGAAAATTATCTAGCCAATATCTGACAAAACTCCTAAATTATAACTTAATTATAAATATCTAGTTAAAAATTTAGTAAGCAAAAGACCTAAATTTTTAACTGATCTTATCTATGAAGCAAATCTTTCAATTAACAAATCAATATCTATTCTATTTAAACTAATCTATTTTACATTTATTTCTCTTCTTTAAGAATTTATTACAACCCTATTTATTTGACTAAATTATCTAAAAACTTTATTTCTTACAGTTCTATTTTACTATATACTACTATTAATTGAAAACAAATAGCTCTTAACTTGGCCTGTCTACATCTTATTTTTTACAATTAATACAAACTATTTATGTATAAAAATTTTAAGAGGATCTCAAACTCTATTCTATTTATTTTAAACTATACTATTATATTAGTAAAGATAACATCAATTAGTCACTCTTCAAAATTTAAAATAATGATAAATTCAATATTAATATCTCTCTAATATTTCCAAAAAATAATTTCTTCAAATATTTCAAATCCCATCTTTAAAAAATCACTTACCTAAATTCAAAATCTGGTTTGAAAAATTTTTTAATATTTATAAATATCAATTTTATAATATTGATTAAGAAAAAACATTTAATTATATCAAATACCAAATTATACTCAAACTGTTCAATATTTATAAATCTTTTTTATCTTTTGAATTTAAAATCACTTCTATTGATTTCTTACAAGAGCTTTCTAAATTATGTTTTAAAACAACTTTATATTATATTTACATATATACAATTGAAAACTATATAATATTATTTAAAGATACAGAATATAATGTTAAAAATATATTATCTCTTTTCTTTACTAACTCATATAATCATTTTCTAGCTTTAACTAATATATAGTTTAAACCTAAATAGATACACTTTATTCTTAACTTTATAATCTTTAATAAGGACTAATCTAAAGTTGTTACATTTAATAAACCCACATTTATTACCTTTCTTCAACAACTTGACTCTAATACTGAAAAAGAATTTATCAAACTTAATGATACTGAAACCAACAAAGTACAGAAGAACTAATATTTTTATAACTTTTTCAAAGCTTATCTAAATACTATTATCAGTAATAATCAAATTAACAATTATCATCTACAACAAATTATTAACAAAATCACTAACAAACCTATTAGTACTGAGTACTTAGATCAAGTACTTCTATATTTTTATATTCTTAAAAATAATAAACTTTTATTTCATCAATTAAAGAATCTTGTAACAAAAAATTCTATACTGAAACTCAACAAATTTTATATTTCAAATTTAATATTAAATTTAATCTATCTAAAACCAAATTTATCTTTTCTAATTTAAACACTCTTATCAAATCAATATCTTTAAAATTCAAAAAAAATAATAATTCATCTGAGTTTCCTAATAATGACATTATTATGTCAGAATCAAATACTAATATCACTAATCAAAATATAGAACAAAATTCATAACCAGATCATGTTATAATATTCTCTTATAATTCTTTTCAATAAACTCTTCTATACAACATATAAATATAATCACTACTTCTAAGATAATGATGTTCTCTATACTTAGTAGACCATTCTTAGAAGAGAATAATGTAAGTGAATGGGTGGTTAAGTCCATTTATATAGAGAACCAGGCTAATGATAACCAGACCCAACATACAAAACAGGCTATAGTATCCTATACAGCTTTGTATGCTAAGTATATAATAAACAAATCTACAAAAAAACTCTCTAGTTTTTTGAATTCTATTTCATCATCTTATATCAAGAAAGAACTACAAAACTCATCTTACAATATACTATATAATCCAGACACATGCTATAACCTATGGTTTAGCATACTTGAACCTATCTTTACTTTCACATCCTCAAACACTTAACTCCTTTTTAAAACACATCCATCATTACAACTATTCACAACTAAACAATTTCAATTATGCACTTACAATATCAATCAAAATTGATTAAAATTGCCTTTTCATATTATTTGGATTCAATGAATAACCCTTTTGCTGTTTGCTTGAAATAATTTACAATTTGATTTTCAAAAAATTGACATTTCCATTTTTGGGATTTTAAAAAAAAACTTGTTTTAACCATGTTTTAAGTTCTTTTAACACTATTACAGTGGATTTTGGTGGTTAAATTAGTAGTCATATAACATGACTGCGCTACATGAACAAAGTGATCATTATCTTACATAAATTACTAATATACTAATATAATTATTAGAGGATGACAGTTGGAATACATATTTACATATCGAGTGTTTTATCTTGTAGTTATTACATTACTTTAAATACTTGAGGATAAGTCACAAAATAAGTGAATTTCTAAGTAGAATTGATCTCATAAATATACGTGACACATCTTTGATAAAGTTTTCAATGAACTCATTAATGTTAACTTCCGGATGAAATATAAAAATTAATCTCCACAGAAAAAATGGTCGAACAAAAAAAAAACAATAATAATAAAATAAGCAAATTATTTTAAATTGTTACAGTAATGCGTAAATTGGTTTTATCTGCTTAGAATTTGATTTAAGACACCTTGTAACTTATTGACTGGAGTGTGTAAATTATTATTCTTTCATAATTATAGGAATTTTTTTGTAGCCTTTAGTTCATTCTTTAATACTCATTGATGTTGGGGTTAGTATTTATTTTGGTGTTTGATTTTAACCAATCTTACAGAAAAATTGACCGATTTTGACAAAACAGACGTTTGTTTTGAATCTTCCTGATTGTGTTACGTTACACATGATTTCGAAATCTGGTTAATTATCTGGAAAATGATTCATTTTAAAAGCTCAATTTGATGCTACTAATTTTTTTAAAGTCTGTTTGGTTTTTTTCAAAGATCAGGCGAGTTAATGCACTTTATGATAAATTTATCAAATGAAATTTTAATTACATGCTCGATAAAAAATCGCAACAAGTTAATCTTTTGATGTAAAAGATCTGGATACGAGCTTAAACATAATTTAACTATTAACAATATTATTTCAGTTCCAGTCTCCTTAGTATCATTCCGAGTATAGCTAAATATTCATAATATCTCCGTGGTTTTTATTCATACACATACGTGCGTGCATAAGTATATAGAATAAATATGTAAAATTATTATGATAATGCATAATTAAAATTTAAAGTAGATATAAATGAAAAAATTATTTTTATGTACTGTGTTTTAATTAAAACTTAATAGATCATCTGTCGTTTCTGCGGTGACTGAACGTATAATAAATGAAAAATGTATTTAGATTTTTTAAATTTTCTTTTGAATCCTCAAATATGTCGAGAATTATTATAAAGGATGTAAAATATTTCTATTTAGGATAGTCCTTAAAAGATTATTATGGATAATATTAATTACAAATGTGAGAATTATTAAAAAATATTTTTTTTTTCACGATAATTGAAAGAAATTAATAAAAAAAATTTTTATAGCCTTTTTACAATTTGCATAGATATTTCAATTTCTTGAGATAAATCAGTATCTGAGCTAATCCTTTTTAAAGATGCCTCTGTTACATTTTTTGTTTGCTCAGGATTAACAACTATAGCATCAATCTGCTCTTCTTCTTCATCGATCGTACGGTTTGCGACGCGTTTATTATTTACATTACTGATATTATTTTGATTAGAACTGCCTATCAAGAGATTAAATGATGTTTCTTGATTTAAACAATTAGATGATACATCTAAAGGGGAAGCCTGTTTTGAATGGATAGGTTCAGGATGAATTAAATAATTATCTTTATCGTTATGAATTATTTCATTATTTTGATTGTCATGAATTATTTCTTGTATTGAACGGTGCATTTGCATATTTTCAGCAGGTGAATCGATCTTCAATAAAAGTTTGGGTGAAATTAATCGAGGTGAATCTTCTGGAGCTGAGAAAAGTTTAATCAACAACATGTATTTTAACCATTCTAAAAAAGAAGGTTGTAAAGCTAAATTATTATTATTGGTATTAATAACACCATTATTAATAGGATTATTCTTGTTGTCATTATTAATTATGTTATTAATATCTTGATTGATAATATTTTTTTTAATGCTATCAGCCTTATTGTAATTTAGAGTTTTTGATTCAGCAATAGATTTTCCTAGTGTGCTAAATTCATAAGTAATGGCTTTGTTGTGAGATAGATGAGGATATTGAGACTCATAAGAGTTAACAATGTAGATCCACCATCGTAATTTAGTAGCCATAAAAGCATGAATGACAGCAGTGTCCTGAGAAAATGCTAAGGCATTCAGTAATCCTAAGATGAAAAAAATTATATGAACAAAATTATTCGTAATAAATGATATAAAAAAAATTCTAAAATATATCACCTTGAAGTGACGCACCAAGAAAGCTAAACAATAATAGAGTATAAGAGAATTTGTGATTAACGTAAGCATAAGTTTGAGTGAAAGAATAAAAAAATTGAGATACGAATGGCACCACAGGATACCACACAACCCTTCTGACAACAGAAAAAGTTACAGCCTTATTAACTAATAAAAAATTGTTGGTTAACTGAGAAGTCGGTGTAGAATTAACTTTTTTTTTAATTGATTTGAGTTTTATAACGACCATGATAACAACGAATGCACAATACAAGATGGATACATTTATCCAGCCAAAAAAAGTAGTATATTGCCATATTATATTAGATACTTCACCCGAATTACTATACCAACAAGTTCTGTAATAGATATTGATAAAATATTTAGTAAATATAAATAGAACGAATCTAATTGTAACATGATGTTACACGCCTTATTCTGTAAAATCTTATTAGTATAGCCAATAAAAATTCATGTAACCCAAAACCTCTAAATTCTATTGGCCAACTACATGGATGTTGCATGTGACAGTTGTTACGAATACATTTTTTCATATGTATATATGAAATAAAATATAATATAAATATGAAATAAATAAATATATGCTAGGAATCGGAAACAGATGTAAGATCCGGAACATATATGAGATTTTTGCTTCGACAAAGCCAATTCGGACAAACTTAAACCGAAACGTCGTGTGCAAATCAATTTTTTTGCTTTTATTGATTCAAAAGTTTATTCGATAAACTATTGAATCATAACGCAAATGGAATAAGAACCGGTATGTCTAAATGTGCCGAATTAGCCCGATCGGAAAATGTCGGAGAGTGATTTTTTAGCAAAGACCCATATGATTATCATGTTTTTTGATATGATCTTCATAATGTTTATGCAGATGCATCGAAAACGTAATTGTTACATTGCTTAGTACAAAGAAGTTGAGGATCCCCCGTAGATATGTGCGATCACCCACTTATCAGTGACATATGCTTAATTGTTACATGATTTAAAATTATCAAAAATAACACTGAATGTCAATGTATATAACAATTAAGCACACGTCACTGATAAATGCGAAATGCCCATTTCTGATCCTCCGCTACACTTCGGATCAATATGCTCCGGTTCAATAACATATATGCACATATAGTGTATACATACTTTTCGGGAACATCATATCCATACATATTAGCAAAAACAGGAGTGAAGGAAATTAAAAGAGCCGAAGAAAATGAAATTATATAATAAAATTTTTCAAGATTAAAGAGGCCCTCATATTCATATATGAATATTATATGAAGATTCTAACATAAAGAACAAAAAAGGTAAATGGAGCATATATATATAGTAAAAATATATCTGCATGTAATTACAATACATACCAAAGCTATACAAACGATAAGGAATAGAGTAGAAAGGCCAAAAAATACGACACTCCAAACCTTAATATATGAAAAAAGATTCACGAGAAAGGGAATTAAAAAAGAAGCTAATGGATTTAAGAAAAAAAAAGCTATTAGTTATTGAAAGTAAGCTAAAGGATAACTTACCGAGTAAACACACAAAAAACCGGGAGTATTGTACCAAATAAGACCAAACATATAATTACCAGAATAACCTATGTCAGTTAATAAAGCTGCAAAAGCTAAACGAAATGAAACCCGATCAGCGAAATTAGGATAATATATTCGTATAAAGACAAATATCACACATGAAGCAATGCTAGTAAAGAGAGAAATGACAAGAATAGGAGTGCAATATTTAGCTATAGTGAGGTATTGATCCTCTGATACTTGAGTGGTAAAATTCATTAATGATAATGCTCTTGTAATGTAATAGATTAGAGTATATGTGACCAAGTTTCGATTTATCAAATATATATATTATTGAAAAAGTAAAACTAAAAAAAAGTGCTATATAAAAGGGGAAAAAATGATCATGCATACGTAATTACTAATAATCTGCGCATTAATTTATATGTGTGTAACGTACTTGTACGTACTGCACATCCGTATATCAGATATACGTAGTAAAATAAAGCATAGCAATGTGATGATTTTCCCAACATTAGTCAAATATTTATTCGTGCTATGCAAAGGATGATTCTATAAATGTGATGACACATGTAAGATATTCTTCATGATACCAACAGAACACTTTTTAATTAATAGGTGTGTTTACTCACCAGTAATTCCGTTAAATTTATTTGAAGATCCGACAATATTGTGTAGTTAATTTACATAACGAGGGTGCTCATTTGAAACATAAATTTTATAATATATGTGCTTATTCACCATAAGTGCTTATTTTCCACAAGAAGCAAAGTTATTCTTATGTAAAAGAATGCGGATTAATATCATTCATACTGTTTCTAATAGTAGATCCCAATGTTATGATCAAATTTGGACATAACACACTAACGATAACGCTAATCGCTGTTTCCTTTTTAGAAATTTGTATTACAGCACAAAAGCAAGGTCGGCCGGTGAGGAATCTTGGTATTACTCAAAAATCGTACGTTGTGACTATGAAAAATGGCATGAAAATAAAAAATAATTTAGCAAGGGTCGCTACTAGACAGAGATCTAACACAATATCTACTAAATTCTATCTCTTTACACCCTAACTGGTAGGCTTCGATTTGGATTACTACTACTACTAATTCGTATTTCGTTTTTTACCCTTTATTCACATAGTCTTTCGCAATGTTGCAGTGTTTAAATATATATTCATTTTACCTATCGAAACTACCATATATACTGTTAGACCCAATAATGTGACGAAAATACTCTGCCGGGACCTCACGTGAGAGCGGGTATGGCGATAAATTCCTTGATATGGATATCCCGGTGATTAATCGAATTAATTCGATTAATTAAATATATCAAGGAAGGAGATTTTATGACGAAAAGAGATTTAATGAGAAAAAGGGGGATTTATTAAGTATAAGGATTTAGATGGATAAATTAGAGAGATCGAATTAAATAGAGGAATGAGATTAATGTAATTAAAGAAGTTATAATTAAAAGTTAATATAAATAAAGGCCGAAATGGCCCTAAGGGACGACATGTCTCGTCTGCTTTATTAAAAAGAACAAGTCCCAAATACATTGTATCGTCCATAATAAACACTAACACTATACCCAGTATAAACCCTGTAAACCCCTATAAACATCGTCGTTCGTTCAAGTTCTTGTTCACGTGTAGTGATGGGCAAATCGCAGTTTTTTAAAAATCTGGCGCGGAATCCGCGCGGGATTCGCGGAATATAGTAAAGTTTATTGATTTTTCATGAATAATAAAAATATATATAAAGATAATCAGTAGAAATATAATTTCTTGTTAAAATAATATATTTTAAATACATTTAGCATTTCAAAATGATGCCAAATCGGTTTATTAACACCCATGTTATAATAATGTCGTTTAAAGAATGACTTAAATAATGGTTATATTTATTATAACAAGGAATAGTAAGAACTACCAACGGCAAAAAAAATTTAATCAAGTATACGCATATATATATAGAATGATAAAAAAATAAAAGTTCTACGTAGAAATACAGACCGGGGTAAAACAGTCACCCAAAAAAGTTTCGAACATCACGTGACACATATATCGAGACTAAAAATTCATGTAAAAACAAAATAGAGATATAAAAAAATAAAAATAAAAATCATTTTTCACCGATTTAAATCTTGTGATAATAAATAATACGTTTATTGAGTTATTCGAAATAAATAAAATGATTAATTTATTACTTATCGTTTAAATTTTTTGTTTGTTTATTTTTGTTAAGCTACATGAATTTTTAGTGTTCAATATATTTGTTACGTGATGTTCGAAACTTTTTTGGGTGGCGATTTTACCCAGTCTTAGAAATTGGCCCATTAATGTTAATGCAGGCCGGATGATATTTAATGCAGGCCAGATGATATGCTAATGCAGGCCAAATAATCTTATATTAAAAATCCCGCGCGTGGCCCATCTCTACCTACTGGTATTCGTTGAACCAAAGTAACCGAAAGCCTTAATCACCCACCAGTCAAATCTAACACCCTCTTTCGTAAAGGTTACCTATCGTACGTTACACGACATTTTGAATTGTGTAGCGACCGAGTCGCAGTTTTCTGAACCCAACAATACCTGCCGGGTCCACCACATCTTACAAATTCTTCCTTTTTCTGCCAATTCTGTCAGTTCTGCACAACGTACGTTGTAATCGTAAAACGGCGAGTCAGTCGTTAATCGGTCGGATCTCTCGTGTAACCTTTAGGGAGGGTTAATCGGGTCGAAAGAGGTGTGTTAGATTTGTCAAGTGCTTTGCTTGAAAAGTGGTTGGTTTCTACCGGTAAAGGGGTTTCGGATTGTTTTAGTCAAATGTACCGGTGTACGTTAGTGGTTACGAGTTGGGGATAGTTTATGTAGCGACAATCGTATTTCTAATAAAGGTTTCCGTTTATTATTATCGTCAGGCAGTTTATTTGAGTGATTATCAATTGTTATGGATTGTGTATTTGTTGCCAAAGGGGAAGTTATCCTTCCCAAAGGGCCTTTTCGGCCTTTATTTATAATTAAAATCTTTTATTTACATTATGCGATGGATACGACTGATATCACTGATGCTATTAATCAGTCGTGTCTTATTGATATTTCCCTTCTACTCGATCGCTGCTATCCTCCACATTCGACGCATGCGTCACATGCGACGGATGCCATCGACTCCTTCCCTATTTAGGTAATATCCCACCCGAACGGCCAGGGTCCATTCGGTCCCACAACGTACGTACATTAGGGATGCTACAGTCCTGCAAAGACCGTGATCAAGACCGGTCTTTTGGACCAGTCCAACCGGTTTTCGGTCCTAAATTGAGGACTGGGTCAGGACCGGTTCATAGCTTATAGAATGATCTCATTACAGCTGTTATCATTATTCCTGGGACACCTCATGAAAAATTAACCAAAAGGTTATTCTGCCGATTCGATAAATTATTGTAATGTTTATTATTTACAAAGATAGCCTAAAACCTGGTACGTACGAAGGTGCAATCGATTTGTAAATTAAAACTTACGTGAAACTACAAGATCCCTACTTTCTTGTCATAACTATCTAATTGTAATTCATACAATATCGGTTAGACTTTTCTTCCATTAAAGTCTTAGGATATTTTATATCATTCAGGGTTTAATAAACGTGACTTCTTACAAGTGGCGAAAGTCTTTTAACGCATCCATATCTTTGAAATTACG